AAATTAATTTAACTGGACATTCAGTTTCAATGAAATCATTTGATCCGCGGACCAGTACCGGTTCGCGGACCGGGGGTTGGGGAACACTGCGTTAACAGACCCTTCACATTCGTATATCTTCATTATAGTTTTGTTAATCGAATAAACCCTTCCCTGGAAGGGGGGGGGGAGGAAGACAGATGTAAACGAACTAAATTTTGTCTTCGGCAGACGCTTCTTCCTTTATTCGTCCGAAATGAATATTCTGCGTTCAGCAGTATAGACTAAATACCAAATATTTATAAGTAGCATCGCTACTTTAGTAGCTGCAATTGCTGATTATTTTTTGAAATTTAATTTTTTAATTATAATTATAATTTTTATTACAGTGTTGAGCATAATCTTGTATGTCTTTACAATTTAAAAAGTCCTTGAAAAAGTTTTTTTGCAATAACGGGGTCCGTTATTTCCATATTTGCACAAATTCACGACCCTGGTTGAAAGAATGTGACTTAATGCTTATTTTATATTCACAAATTGCGAGTAATTTTTTCACAATTTTACAAAAACGGACCTTTTACAAAATGTCCGGACAGACCCCCGATTTATGAGAAAGTTTGTATTCTGGATTTGCAAGCATCAGATTTATATAACACTACAATAATTATAAGTTTGTTTTTAGAACCTGGAGTTGAACTCATTCTTTTATTTTTTTCAGTTTCCGTAACGAAATTTATGAGAAAGTTTATATTCTGAATGCATTACATCATAACGAATTTTGAACTGTGAGAAAGCGGAACTACTTTATCTTAGTAACTATTAAGAAATCCATAATAGTATGGAAGAGTAGGATATTTATATGGCAATATCTGTATAGGTCCAAGCAACTTTCTTAGTACTTTCAGTCCGAAACACAATCTTTGAAAAACTTCTCACTTGCTTTGTAATAAATTTAATGGTGCAATAATGCTTTATAATATACTTAAGAGTTCCAAGAAATTTTTCATTAATCGATATTAATTTTTTTCGTTTCACATTTTCAAATACAATGAAATATAAGATTATATTCATACAAATTTTCCATGAAACTTTGGATCTTTTCTTTTCATGCTTCTGGAAAATTTCGTGTCTATTGTAAAATATTACAATCATAAACTATTTTACGAATTTAGTACATGTAAATGTAAAACAAGCTAAGTATTTTGCATCAAAAGAATAATCTTTTTTTTATAAATAAAAATGTATCTAAAAAACATTTGAGTTTCTGAATTCTTTTGAATGTTACGGTTTGCGGAGATAAAATAACTTGAGTTGCTATGAAATTAAATTTGAAAAACTACTTAAGATTGAATATTATTGACTCGATTGAATTTAGCGTCAGCTTTTAAAACTCCTTGAGGTAAAATTGCATAGTATTAATATTTTCCTATCCGTATTCTTTGTGTTTGTGTTTCAAAATTTAAAGTAAAATAGTAAAATAGACCTTTCATTTAGAAATAATTCATTATCAAGAAATACAATGCTGAAAAACGTACCACTATAACTTCGTAAATGAGCAAAGGAACTTGAAGTTTTTCTCAATTTTCAAATTTGATCTTAAAAGACATGAAATGCTTAATAATGACTAGATATGCTTAAATAAACGAGTAAAATACTGCTTTAAAACAGTTCCTATTTCCACAGAGAAAAAAAATTCTCATAAAATTACCGTAGTGTATGGTAATGACATTCATGGTAAAAAAAATATAATTCTGGTTAATAAAACCAAAATAAAAGGTATTTGAAACATTCAATTTTTCCATTCAGATGGTAACCAGAAATTCTATTTTACAAAAATTAGTTCTAATTGCCACACATAGTAAAAATATACAAACTGAAACGTAAGTTTATCCGAATAAAGTTTCTTTTGCCATGCTCTTATGTATCAATATAAAATTTCCCAATTTTACCGCATTTACCAAATTTTATTACATATTATAAAACACTATTATATTGTTAATTTTACCAAAATCATTACTCAAGCCCTTTCTTTCCCATTGATCATATTCTGGTAGTTTTGACCATATTTTTTTCTCGTTGTGGAACAGTATTTTCAAGTTGTGAATCATTATCTCTTTTATTACTTGTTTTCAGAAATTTGGATAAAACGCAAAGTAAGTGGGGGTGAAATTAACGTATCAGACACATGGATCTTGATTGTTATTGTCCTTGATTTTAATAATATATCTTAGATAAAAACTGTTATTGTTAAAAACTTTTGCTCAAGAATATATTATTAGAGAAATAAAATTGATTGGCTAAGTAACATTTAGTGATTAATGAACATGAAAAAAAAATTTCTTGGAGGAAGAAATAATGCCTATTTTAAAAAAAATTAAAAAGCATAAATGTTCAATGTTTTCCATAAACTTTTCAATAACATTGCATACTGTTTTAGGTGGAAAAATCGATCTCGCACATCACAAGAATTGGGCAATGAAAGCTCTCGAAGAAGGAGTTGAATTTGATCAAGCCATACAGAAAGCCATAGACATTGTCGATGAAGAAGATACTCTTATAGTGGTCACTGCTGACCACTCTCACGTTTTTTCCGTGGGTGGAGACTATCCTCTCAGAGGAACTGAAATTATAGGTGATTAAAACAAAAACGAAACAAAAAAATATCTAATGACTACTTAAGCACGTTTCTATAAAACTATCATGTTTTTATAGAACTACCGTGATACCATGTTCCTCATCAGTGTCTAAACACAAAATGCGTGCTTAGACGCTGAGTAAGGTCCTTATTTAGATGATTGAAACTATAGCATATCTATTTCGTTATCGTAATTTGTGCTTTATTCACATTGTTTTTCTTCATTTATAGTGATTGCACATTGCAAAAAATTCTAGATCAAATTACAGTAAAAATTACCACAACTCATAGTGCCGGGACTATTCAAAGTAAAATCCTTTTTTTACCTGGATAAATGCTTCGGAACAAAAAATCTGATATCCCGTGATTTTCACGAAAGTAATTACGATAAAATCACTGAATCATTAATCTCATTAACATTTTGTTTAAATAAATATTGCTGTAGAAATTACAGTATAATATTATACGGCAAAAATGGATCTTATGGTTAAGTGTATTTTACGGATGGAGCTCCCTAAGTGCCGACTGCTTTATATTGTAATTTTATCCAAAACTTTTTACAATGTGTGCTGGATAATTTTTGCTTCACGCTGTTTAAAGTTTTCTTTTTCCCTCTACGAGCAAAAGAAAGAACTAGTTGTTATTTTTGACGATTTAGACAATAAGTGTGAAAACTGTTCGACAAGTTTTCGAATTAATTTAAAATAAACATAATAGAATTCTTCTCATTCTTCTTGGCAGATTAACATGCAAATTTACCTAACCAAATATATTAAGTAATACCTAAACTGTTAGAATTTCCATTCTAAAATTACGGTAAAATAACCGGAAACAGTCTGTCCATCTAATTAACCGTTAAGTTTACGGTAAAGGACATATTTTACTTCTATTATTTTGAAGCCGTACTACTAGTTTACAACTAGAATGGTTAAAAACCATGAATACAAAACTAAACCATTTTTGAGCCATCTACAACTAGTATGGCCTCAACACAGTAAAAAAAATTAATTTAACTGGACATTTGAGCTAGGCTCTTTGTTAGGTATGTTTAGAAGTTTAGTTGTGTTTTATCTAATGAATAGTGGAATGTGGTTTTATTAGTTCATCTGGTTGTTTCACTTATTGTGAGAGATGAGAAATACTATAGACTTTTTTGTGTTAAGCAACTTTAGGGTGCTACCATCTGTGATGAATGAGAGTATCACATTCTTATAGCTACAAATTAGGGAGTGCAAAATACTGGGTACTCTTCATGCATTGAAGAGAATGGAGAAATATTATGATGTCAACGCTGGGACCAAAACGCCCGTTCCGTCGACCATGAGATTGACAGCTAAGCCCTATCGGCTGTAATATATATATACTCAGTTGCAAGGAACCAAGTAGTTTCATCAGTGTGTCTTAGTTTAGCCGTATTAGGTGAAAGTTAATAAACGTTTTTTCTCACACTTAACAATCTGAATACCATATTATTTATGGTTTTATGACTATTTTATTTGAATATGGTAAAATAACAATTAAATAAATTGTTGTTTAACCATTTTTTCCGAGAAATTCCTAAGAGTGTACTAGAATCGATTGGAGTTTACGAAATCAAACAATCTTTCATTTGTAGGCATTGGTGGTGTTTCAGACATAGACAATTTGACTTTTACTACTTTGGGTTACCTAAATGGACCAGGTTACAAGAAAAACGCCCGGGATCGCAACTTAACCAATGATGAAGCTAGTAAGTTATAACTTTTGCTAAAAAGATCTTCTTTCTTTACTTTTTTCACATTATTTTGTTGCATTTATAAATATCAATGTTACAGTGAAACACTGAAATCAGAAAACGTCGACGTTCTTCAGTATTTTCACTGTTGTATTGGTGAGTGTCAGAATGAAAACTGTTAATATTTTGCACCAACATTGGCAATGACAATACTCTGAATGCGCTGTTTGTGGACTGCGAATTAATTTTTATTACCAAATGTCATTATATCTCGATTATATCGGAAAATGTCGATATTTTTTGGTTGAAGTGAGAAATAAGGACATTTATAAATATTTCAGACATTCGCCACGCATGCTGTATCAACATTCACCAGATTTCAGATATTTAACGGAACGACTAATTATATGTTTGTTGACAGTCAGCAGATTTTGGACATTCGCAGTAATATAAATATATGTGTGTGACACATAATTGTTTTGTTATTCTTTCATGCGTTTTAAAATTTGAATTATCCTCTAGTAAAAGTAATGATATTATGTGTGAGACATGTCAATATACTATTATTAATAAATATCTTGTTGATAGTAATGGTTTTAAATCTCTTTTTCAACAAAAGTTTAATAATTACTTTTTACTTCCACATAGCTATAAGATTTTCGTGCATTTCAGAGTAATTCAAATATAGCAGGAAGTATTCTTTTGGCTCCGCACTATTAAACATAGTATACTAAATATTAAAATATTGAAAATAAGAAAACAAAAACACATTTATATACGGCTGGGAAATAAATGAAATGAAATACTATTTTCATTAAAAAAATTTCTGAGAACTTTTCATTAAATTATATATGGTATGAAATAATCAAAATTACTTTCTTTTTAAACAGTTTTCTTTCATTATAATAAGATGCCTTTCAATTTTTTTAAATTCACATATATTTACCCTTTAACCCTTTAAATAATATTTTACTTCATATTTTTTGCAATCCAATATATTTAACTGTCGAATTTCATAATTTTTTCATGCAGTATAGACACAACCGCATGGACTGCAATTATACATTATTTACAATTCGATACGATTTCAAGTGCATCATTCCAAACAACTCCTTGTTACCTTTAGATTTGCCTAAATAAATTGCCCGCGCAATCAAATTAGTTGTCTCACGAAGTATGTTTACATCATATTTATTAGACACAATCAAGAATAAACATTGAAGCAGTTTTATGTCAACGAATAATTTTAATTAGTGTTTATGCTTTCGTTGTTTTTTTTTCCTTGTCGTATGTATTTTATGTTTCGTTGTTTTTTAATGCTTCAATAAAAAGCCACGAAAAACTGCTTAAATGCATCAATGCTAATTGTTTGTTAAAACAAAACAGTAAGCATTGAAACAGTTGTGTGACATTTAAAAAATAAATATGTGCTCATTGCTTTTGTAATTCGTTTTGTTGCTTTCTATTTCGTTATGCTGTTCGTTTCGCTAATTTCTGTAGCTTTTGTTCATTCGTTGCTTTTGTTACTTTTTGTTTGTATTGATTTCTATATAATTCACGAGTTTCGTGCACTTTAGTTGCTTTTAGAACTTTATGCTTCGTTGTTTTTGCTGCTGTTTGTTTCTTAGCTTTTGTTTTGATTTCTGTTATGTTGCTTTTGCTTCATTGCTTACTACTGCATATGCGTTTTGTTCATTGCTTTCTATTTCATTGCTTTGTTACTTTCTGTTCATCGCTTTCTGTTTCATTTATGTTTCTCACTTTTTAATTATTTTGTCCTTTTTAATTATTTTGTGTGTTTGTTTGTGCATATTAAATGTTTTTCTTTTAAAGTGAACTCAGAATTTCAACAAGATACTTTGGTCCCACGTGAATTTGACACCCATGGGTCAGAAGACGTCCCCGTATATGCACGAGGACCCATGGCTCATCTCTTTCATGGCGTTCATGAACAGTCTTACATACCTCATGCCATGGCTTACGCATCCTGCATAGGAACCAACAAAGAACACTGTAATCATGCTTGGTCCATTTATGCTACGCAGTCTTCACTGACTTCTTTGAAATTAACTGCAATTGCCATATGGATTTACTTTGTAGGCATGAAAATGCTTTAATTAGGTTTTTACGTCATGACTTTTTCATTTCCCCTTGTTTTTTGCAAAAAATTATTGTAAGAATCACTTCTTTTAATTGATTCACTATCCGAAATTATCTCGAGTGCACAGTCTTAGAAGCTTTGATTTGATTTGATATTTAATTAAATACTTTTCTTCGTAAGTGAATTAAATACTTTTCTTTTAAAGTGAATCCAGAATTTCAACAAGATGCTTTGGTTCCACATGATTTAGAAACCCATGGATCAGAAGATGTCCCTGTATATGCTCGTGGTCCTATGGCTCATCTCTTTCACGGAGTCCATGAACAGTCCTACATACCTCATGCCATGGCTTACGCATCCTGCATAGGATCCAATAAAGAACACTGCAATCATGCTTGGTCTATTTATGCTACGCAGTCTTCTCTGACTGCCCTGAAATTAACTGCAACTGCCATATGGACTTATTTTGTAGGCTGCAAAATGCTTTAAATAGACTTTTCTTTCCTGAACTCTTTAATTAATTTTGTTCTTCACTAAAAAGCGAATGAATTTCAACTCTTTGTAAAGCATTAATCTTATTTTATCATTAATCTAAATTTTTTTCATGCTCTCGAGTTATTTTTTTTTTCTTATTTAAATAACTAATGGACTTTTAATAACTTATTGTCATCAGATTTCGTTATTATTATTTATTTCACATTTTCTTACTTAAAGTTAATCACTCTCTACAAGTTCAGGATAAATCATTTTTTTAATTATCTAATTATTACTTTGAAACGTTAAAGAAAACTATAACAGTCATAAATTATGCAATTATAAATAATAATATTTTTATAGTTATCTTAAGGCATATAAACAATGCCATTTTGTGTTTATAATAAGGATGGCACCATTGGCATGACAGTCTCGAGAAGCAATTATTTCTAGCTATCTATTGACGCACATATTAGGTAGACGCAAATTTAAATCATTTTAGAATTTTAATTCATTGAATTTATAAACTTGATTCTCAAATCATATCTATGCTGGAACGCATAAATTTAAAATCACAATAAAAAACTTTATTTTTAACAGTATTGTTGTCACGTGTGATATTTAGTACTTTTTAAAAGACTCTGTTTTAAATCCTTTGTTAAAATGTATGAAATATTTTCTTTTTAATTCGAGTGTTTAAAAATAAAGAAGTACATATTTTTTTTCTTGAATTAAGACTTCGAAGAAATAAAAACGAATGTATGGTAGCAAAATCAAAATTTTTGAAATAGAACGGATATCATTGCCAAAGAATTGTTTACATAGTTGCTATTTTTTAAAACTGCATAGTCGTCATGAGGGTGGGTAAAAAAAAACATTTGCTAGGGATCCTCATTCCTAGAACTCTAGGGAGGAGTTGAATTTTTTAAATATATCTAGGGAAGAAATTTTAAATTTTTAAAATTTATCTTTAGTATTAAAAATTTAAAAATCTGGTTTTCTGTATTATCAAATAGAAGAAATGGAACAGAAGGCAGTATAGTATAATCTACATTTTTGTGGATCGCGCACAAAGTAGCTTATATAAATCATAACTATAAAATTTGAAATTTTTTTTTATTTAAGCACGACTACTGTATCAAATTGGAAGGGGGAAAAATTTACATTTTTTTTAATTTTTCCTTGTTAGGGATGAAGTTCAAAAGAAGTACCAAAAGAGATTTATTTCAAAAATGCAAGCAAAAATAAAATGTTCTAAAGTAATTCATTTTCCTTAAGGCATCGATGAGGGGGAATTCAGAAAGCTCTCTGCTAAGTGTTTTGCTTTATTATTATTTGATAACATTTGTTCAATTGTCTTCTTTCAAAAGTGTAAATAATAGACATAGCTCAGTTATTTAGTTTTCTTTGTTTAAAATAAAGATTCTAAATTGGTGTACTTCATGATTTATTTATGTTTACTTTTCATATAGATCAGCGAAAAAAAAGCTTGTATTCGATGTCTTCATTACACTTGCGTATAATAATCACAGTCATAAAATTTTCTGTTATCGTTGTTTGATGATAGTTCTTTTTTATCACGTGTAGTGTTAAAAATAAAGTATACCATTTTTAACAAACGTTATATACATAGTTAACGAAAGTTTTAAATGAATGTACCATAATTTCGCTTAGTTTATTTTCATTAAATATCAGTGACATCGCATATCAGTGACTACTAACATTTCATTATGCTTACGCGTGTTAATCATAATCATTAGTCTTTCGTTACTATTGTTTAATGATAAAAACATTTTTTTTAGATGATTCGTTGTTGTTTTTGTAAATTTAGGTGACTTTAAAACGCCTTCGTTTCTTTGTTTAGAGTCTTATTATTATGTTGAATAATATATTTATTGAATGTTACATTGTTTATTTTAAGAATAACAACCAATAATATTTTTCGTGTGTAAAATCTAAAAGTAAGTTAATATTACCAAACGAATAAAAATTTCATGTGTGCTACATTTACTTTCAAAAATTCCTTTTAATTCTGTTTAACTCGGAATGTGTTAATACCTTTTCTGGTAGTTCTGTAAAAGTTGTGAGAACAAATTAAATTTGACTTATAAAATGATGAAAACCCCTAACTAAAGTCTTTTTCTTTTACAATATAAATCTGCCCAAGACGGTAGCTAAATTCAAGATCTCCTAAATTGTTTATTAGTATTTATTGTATGAGTGTAAATAAATATATTTGATACTGCCATATCAAATTTATTTAATTTTTAACTTATTGTAATTGTTATTATATAGTTTATTATTATATTTTTAGTTTAGTTATTAATTTAAAATCCTTTAAATTATTATTTTTTTTAAAAAGTGGGTTGTTCGTTTCTCTTATTTTTTTAATTCAATATTCGATTTGAATTTTTTTAATTTTACTATAATTTTCATTTTA